AATTATTACACGTAAATTAAAAAATATATTAGAAATTATATCTATAAATTAATATATCACTTTTTATTATAGCATTTCTTGGATGCACCATTTCTGAAGATAACTTGCCTAATGCAGAAGAAGCATTACAAAAAGTTTCTGATATTATTGATTTGAACAATTTAAATGTATCTGGAAACTCTGCTTTGGATAATGTTAATGCATCTGTGATAAAACATGCTCTAGAAGAAAGTCAAAGTGTTTTCAAACAAAAATGTGAGAAAAATGGTGGAGAGGGTACATTTGAAAATGCTATAAATGCAATGAATGACTTAGAACAGTGCCTTAAATCATTTGTTAATTTCACAAAGTTGGAAAAAGAAATGGAAAGACATAAACCCACTGGAGATTTGGATACAGTGTTTAAAACTTACTGTCGTAAAACTCCCACTCTTAAGAAATGTGTTAGCAATTTTACTACAGCAATAGAGCCATGTTTGGAACCACAAGAACGAGAAAATAAGAAAATCATTCAAAATATTACAGATTCTCTTTTAACTTTTGTCTGTTATAAAGAGGGAGACCGTATTGCTCGTATGCATTTTTCTTTTTAATTCAAGATTATTTAAATAGAATAAGATAAAAACAATAATAGTTTGAAATATTACTAAATATTACTATTATTAATTGTTTACAGTTTTCATTTCTGCTAATGGACCAGAATGTTTGCAATCAAAACAACAGGAAATTCAACAATGTGTCAACATTACTTTGGGAAGTTATATCCCTCAAACAGATCTCAACAATGGACCAGGATTAAATTCTCTTCCACTTCTTGTTTTTGGAACTAAAGAATGCACGTAAGAATCAATATTTATATAACAAATTTTATATAAATAAAGTAATTTTTTTTTATATATATTTTTAGAGATATTTCTAAAGTTCAGAGCTGTATTGTAAGAGAATTGGAAAAATGTAAGGATCCAGTACCAGCAAATATTGTGGATTCTATATTCAATTACATTATAAAAGTGACACCATGCCAAAAAGTAATAAATCTTCAAAATACTGCTTCTAGCTCAACAATTAACTTATTATGCATGAGCCTAATATTTTTATTGTTAATACTTACATAAAATTAATTCTAATAGAAATTATTTACAAAAAAATTCAAAATTAAAAGACAAAAATTCTTGTTTACAAGTATAAATTTCATTATTATATAGATTATTTTAAATTTTATTGAAACATATGTGATACTTTTGAAAGTAAGAAAATATTCAAATGTATATAAGTCTGGTTTTTAAAACATTTTTCACTATATTGATTCAAATTATAAAAAAACGAAATTTACTGTACTGTTTTAATAATTCTGGTGCTTCAGAATAGACTGACATATTTGTAAGTGTCCATCTGAATATAATGCTAAATATAAATTGTAACTATAATAGAAAACCTAGACTTCACTTTTGCAACACTTGGAATATGTTCAATTTTATACTATAGTGATGTAATTAAATAAATTCATACTTGTAATATAAGTACCATGAATTATATACAATAATAAGACATGAAATTGTCATCATTTGTATAGATTAATATAAATATATTATAATAGAAATATATTGTATTTTTTTCATGATACTTAATGTTATTATACAATTTAATATTATTATTATAATGAAATTATTATTGTGAAATGTTTTTTATATTCAAAAATATAAAATAATACACAATTTTCCTTTTATAATACAAATTATTTTTGTATAAATTTATATATTTAATATATTAATAATCATAACTCTATAATTAATATATTGCAATAATCGTAACACTTTTTGAAAACAAAATATTTTTATTTGTACTTACATTTCTGATTCTATTCAAAATTTCATATAAATATTCTTTAAAAAATGTTATATGTCTTTACATCACGCGCGCGAACGAATAAAAGAAATAAGATTATTTTCCGTTGGAACTGATATGATGTAATAATTGATATGTTCATTAGATTCTTATGAATCCTTAGAGCTATTCTTCTATTGGTGAACAGATGATATTCATAGAAATGTATTGCGCACGCGTCGTGTTTCGCATTCTTTCGCTTGTCTTCGGATAGGTTCGCAGCTCGCAAAAGCAGTGCACTTGAGAAAGCCCATCGCAGGCTGTCTCGACGTGTATGTTTTGAACAATTCGCAACATGTTAATGAGTTTTTATCAGATTCTAATTAAAAATTCATGCAGTGTATTCAGTATACGAAAAAAAATTAATAGTGCTAGACATTTACCCTCTTGATCGAGTATTTTTATTAGTATCAATTGTGCAATAAGGAAGGTGAAGAACGATGCCAGGCAAAGGAGGCAGAAGACGAAAATGCGGTAGGAAAATCTTATTTTTTGATCCTATTTATAATATTTGTTTTTTATTAAAAATGATTATTTAAAAAATTCTCAAAATCTTATTGATAAAAAGTCTTGATCAAATATGCGATGATCGTTCTTTATTAAATTATTGGCATTCTTTTGGAATGACTCATCATTTAAATGTTATTTATTTTATCTTATAGCACATATTAGATTGTCAATTATTTTAATTTTTTTAATGATATTATATATAAAATCACTGAGTAATTTTCGAATAAAAAAACTATATTGATTTATGAAATTTTTAACAATATGTTCGAATTGAAGCAACATCGTGTCACTACTAGCTATCCCCATGTGACTTTCATGCTTTTCGTACGGGTTTGGGTTAGGTACGAGATAGAATAAAAAATTTTCGAATGATTGAAATAAATCGTTAATTTAAATCATATTTTAAAATAGAAGTAATTTTTTTGTAGAAAAAATTATGAATCACTGGAAAAGATGTTTATTGTTTGCTTTATATTTTATATGAGCGGTAAAGGATTAGATATCATGATTTTTTGTATCATTTGTATTAAATTTAGATCGTTTATTATGTCTAACATTTATTATTTCTTATATTTATACAAAATATGCGTCATTTCTATACAATTATCAATGCTTGTAATTATTGATATTTGAAATTCTTTTAATGAATACTTATATATATTTTGCAATTTGTTACAATAAATATCTTGTTTAATAATTAAAAATTATAAAATTGATATATGATTTTTATAATTATATTTTTACATAGATTTTTTAAAACTGATTAACTATATATATGGATAACAATTTTATCAGATGACAAGAATAACAGCTGTTTAATATTTATATCATATATTATATATTAGATTTATTTTTTAAATGATATTTACTTTTAACAGTTGTTATCTTACTATCTATGCAAATTAAATATAAAAATTGATTTATATCATTGATAGTTATTTAAATTTTTTTCAATATAAATATTGATATATTTTATATCATGATAAAGAAATTTTTAATATTTTTAAATTTATAATATTTTTTATTTATCAAATATTACATGTAAACATAATTTATTTATAAAACAATCAAAAAAATTATCTTTTTTATAGGACATGGTGGAAAAAGAGCTGAATTAACATCTGATGAAGATTCTATCAATAATGATGCATGCAGCGTATCTAGTAGTCAATCTGATAATCGCAGCATGTTAGATGATGTGAATGATAATGAGGTAGATGAATTCGCGCAGCAAGAAGCATTTGAAGAAAAGCTAAAGGAAGCAATTGATGGTTTATCACAAAAGAGTGCAAAAGGCAGAACAATTTGTTTTAATGGAATAGAAAAAATATTTGCCATCAAATATATTCCAGATTTTGTAGAAGATAGAAAAATGACTATCACAGATTCAGTGGAACGAGGCTTAAGAAAAGGACGTAGTGAAGAACAATCTACAGCAGCCAGATTAAGTAGTTTGCTTTGTGTTCAATTGGGAGCTTTTGAAAGTGCAGAAATAGTTTGTCGAGATTTGAAAAGTACTTTAACTTTTATTGCCAGCGATACTACAGCTTCTACTCAAGCACGTTCAGAGGTAAAACAATAAAAGTGATAATCTAATTTATTTATAAATAATAAATTATATATTTACAGTGCTGTTGGGCTCTAAGCATGAATCAATTCTTATCAGGCAATGATGCAACTGCTACCATTGAAATTGTGCAATTATTGTCTGGTATTTTCTCTGGTTCCTATTTAAAAGGAAATGGTGCTATAGCAAATATTTCTACAGAAATTGCTGCGTTGCATGCTACAGCTATTTCATCTTGGACACTTCTTTTAACAGTAATGGCTCCAGCAGATATTTACAGCTTGCTTGCGAGTGATAGAACTAGTAGTTATATGCCGTAAGTATTTTTAAAGAAAAACTTAAAAGATTAGAATTATAAAAATAATTTTTATTTTAGGTCCTTGAATAGATTGCGCGAGTTATTAGAATCACCACATTTGGATATAAGATTATCAGCTGGTGAAGCTCTAGCTGTAATATTCGAATTGGGTCGCGATTTTTCATGCGATTATGAGCAGGATTGGTCTTTGGATCTAATCGAAGTATTAAAAGAGTTAGCTACAGATTCAAATAAGTACAGAGCAAAAAAAGACCGTAAACAACAAAGAGCTAATTTCAGAGATATACTTCGCTATATAGAGGTAAATTTTGTATTAAGAATATTAGAACATTGAATATTGTCATAGATACTGATAATGAATATTACTTTTATTAGGAGGATATTTTACCAGAAATGCATGTAAAATTTGGCCAAGAAATTCTATATTTAGAAGGATGGTGCGCACGAACTCAGTATAATGCGTGCTGTAGATTACTTGGTCCGGGAATAAATATTCATCTTGCGGAAAATCAACTTCTGCGCGAAATTTTTCACCTTGGTAATAAAGTTGTGCCGATACAATTGAATCAGAAGACAAGTAAATTAGAAAGGGTAAATTTTTTACATTGAATAGTCTTGATTATAATATTTTCAAATTTCAAATTAATTAATTTTATGAATTTTAATTTATTCCATTTAGACATTAATGAATGCAGCTGCATTCAAAGCGCGCACTATTCAGCGTAATAAAAACCGAGACAAACGATCAGCTGCCTTGGCACCGTGATTCTTCAACTTTCTTTTTTTATATATATTAGATAATTTCTTTTAAAATAAGAAAAATATGATTAAATTTTTTATTTGTTATAACCGTTCTTATAACAACAAAAAAATATATTGCATATTGTTCACAATGGTCTATTTTAAATTGTAAATAGAGATGAACAAAAAAAAAATATTATAATTTGCATTCTATTTAATTGGTTAAATTAAAAAATTCGTTTTAACTTGTATTTAATAATAGCAGAAAACAAATTATTTGCATGATGTTGTTTCATGTTATTTATATTTTGTATATATGAAATTAAAATATGTATATACGATAAATGATTAATATCTATTGTACTTGTTATTTGTCAAATTTAATTACTATTGATATGTTGATGAATTTTATTTGATGAATTTTATAAATTTTACTATTATATTATAAATTTATGCGTTTCACAATATAAAGAAAATTTAAATTTAATATTCGAGTTATTATTATTATTTTTTGTAACTAATATTTATTTTAGCATATACGTAAAATTATGTTCTGCATATGATCATTCTTATATTAGATGTAACTGCTAAAGTAAGGTAATTGTTAAATATCTATATATATAAATATGTAAACCGGCATTGTACATAATAACATAATTTATGATATAGTATAGAAATTCTTCATTATATATTATATGATAAAATAAAATGGAAATACTTACAATTTCAGTCATTTTATTATGTTATTATTTTTCGTACAATTCTGTATTTAACAATCCACTTTAATCAACTTCAAGTAAGCAATAATTTCTTATGTATTTACATCATCATAGTTATATCAAAAAGTGTAAATACATTATACAAATTGTACGTAATATATAATAACTACATAAACAATTAAACACTTTATAAGATATTATTTAGAGATATAATTATATAATCACAATCTGTTATAAAACACTTTTTTTAAAAACTTTTTCCTTTTTTTATGGACATATTATAAATGTAATTTCACCATTTGATCAGCAAATTCTCTTTCACTTAACATGTGCCATCTATAGTTCAATATTTTAGATACTTCTTTTTCTGTATTTTCATAACTACGGCTATTTTTTTGAATCCATTGATAATGTTCTGGTGACCAGTTCATAATTTTTAACCAATCCCCATCACATTTTTTTAAAATTGAATATCTTCGGACATATAAACAACGTAAATTCTTTGCTGTAGATACAATTTCTAAAATGGTGGCCGTTGAAATTTTATCTCGAATCATCTGCAGGGAAACATTTATCGTATATACAAATCTGATAAATTATGAATTCAAATTACTAAACTTTTTTTATGAGTTAGTTATTTGAAAGGAAGTTATTTGATAAATGTTATTAGCTGTATGAAAGGATAAAAAATACCAAGGAAACCAATCCGTGGATTAATGTAATTGTATGAAGTATTATTCGTTCAAAGACCAGTTATTAACCCAGGCAAATTATTAAATGTGTCATGGTAAAATATTTGTCTCCCACTGATTGGCTTCCAAGTCATTGGTACAATCATTGATCTGAATTTAAATCTCTTGTCTTATGTACTATTGACAAATCAGTGATATATTGCCACACAACATATGTACATAAATAGATCCATAGAAGCTGTAAAAAATGTTTTTAATATTTTCAATGTGTTTTTTAAAATTTGCATTATAATATGTGATCTAGTTAAATAAAACTTACACGAATTATAATAAATAATTTTGTATAACAAAAATTTGAATGCATGCTATCACACATCATTAAGAGTTTTTGTTAAAATCATAGTGATTTTAAAAAGTGACAATACACATCAGAAATTCAGTCAAACACAAAGTGATACCAGTGTATGAAGGTTTGGACACATTTTGCAAAATTGTACTAGTGCTTCATCCAATCTTTGAGAAAAATTTCTGGGCACAAAATATCTGCTTAGACCTTTAAACGCATATACCTTTATTGTTGATTCAAAAAATGTTCCATGATTAAGAATAGTTGAAGATGAAATCTAAAATATTTAATATAATTTATTTTTAAATAGTATTTAACAATATCTTAAATATTTTATGAATTCATACTAACCTGTGTATTTGGAATATCTAAAACAATACTATGACATGGAATATTCCCATGTTCTAATAAATCAATGGGCAAAAGTATATCTGTAGACTTATGACTTTCCACTTCAAAGTGAACTTTAATGTGAGGATTGTTTTTTTTCATCTTTATCCAAGATTTTCTTGAAGGCTAAATCAATAAAAATTAATTTAATTAAAATATTTAAAATAATATATTTTACACTTAAACTTATAGTAACTATTACCAATCTCACGGTAGCATCTTTTGGACTATAACAATTTTGAACAATATGAAGATGTTGCAATTTAGTATATCCAATTAAATCTATTACATCTTCATGAAGATTTTGAGGACTAATAACTAATACCTTCAAAATAAAACAAAAATGTCATGTTAAACATTGAATATAGATTTTGGAAGTTTTTTATTCAATAAAACTTACATTTAAATTAATAAATACTCCTACATGTAAAAGAGGGCAATGATATCTTGTAGTATTAATTAAAACCAATTTTGATAATGTCTGAGTACAATTTGCACAGATATCATCCATTAAATGTAAAGCTTCTTTACTATCTAACATGAGATCTATCAACTCTAAACATTTCAAATTATGTAAATTACGCATCAATCTTTTCAATGCTTCTAATAATTTTCCACCAGTACCAAAAATTCTAATGCTATCAGGATCATCTCTGTTTGCCATGTTACAGGGAAATGTAAATTTAAGTCGTCGAATATAAGTACCAACTCCTGCCACTGATGTATTATCTGATCCCTGTTTTTCAGTGTACCATGATATCATGTTCATAAATTCATAGAGATTATAAAAATTCAACATTGGTTCAAAAACAAGAGATCTAAAATTTTTTCCAACTTTATTCAAACATGTGGAAGTTCTCATATGATCCAAAACATATTGCCAACCACTATGATAATTAAATTTGCCTCTAGTAAGAGTGGTGTCTTCTAATGTAAACGTAGACCATACTTTTGGTAATTTAAAGGCACGATACCATGATCTACATACTAAAGATGCATAATATCTTTCACGAATAGTTAAATAAGAAAAAATTTCTTCTAAAAGTATATCAGGTGTTTGATCCCAACAGCTATATATTTTATTTTCTTTCTCTTCTTCAGTATTTTCTTCAATGTCTATATATAATGCTATAAAATTAATAAAATAAAATTAATAAACATTTAATATTCTCATTTTTTTTCATTAATTTAATATAAACATGTTTTTAGTTAATATTGAAGTTATAATGAACAATAATAATGTTTACTTATTTAGAATTTTTATTATTTTATAATGCCGATTCATTCACCGGAAAATTTTTTTAAAAATTTATATTGCACTCAACATATAATTATACAATTAATGATTTTAAAAATAAATTAAAAAAGATCATTATTATAATACAAAATTAATAGTATGATATAGTATAATATATCATTATTTATGTTTCATTCTATATCTTTTGACATTTATCATTCAATAACCTATTACGTTTTAATGCTCACCTCGATCATCTTCATCAAATTTCCAACAGCCTTTGCTCATTTTCATTATGGGATTATTATCCATATTGTATCAAGATAAAAGTTTATTTTTTTCTGACGAAGTATTTTCCATGCAATATTTCTAAAAATACACTAAAATTGGAAGGGGACGTCGACTGAACATCTCCATCATGGAACTTAAGATAGGATACTGTTAGATTTTATTCACTATTCTGAATGCTATATTTTCGTATCGGTAAAATTTATGATACTATTTGAATCAACCAATGAAATAATATTAGTGACAGTCATAGATTATTAAGAAGATAGAGTTGGCATAATCACAAACTAAAACTTTAAATAAACATATTTGCTATAAAGTGTAACAATACTTTAAATATTATTATAATATTATTATAATGGTTTTGATTAACAATTTATTTATGTTAAAGCAATTAATACAAAATATTAGGTCAGTATTATTATTTTAAATGTTAAAAAATAAAATATTTTCTTTTTATTAAAAAGATAAGAGAATTAAAGAAAAAAAATTTATTTTATTTAATAATATTTAATTATTTGTAGATTATTCCATAACTCAAAAATTACAAAAGGTTATGAAGGATCTGGTAAGACTACAATGGATATTCTTAATATTCAAAATGATCAAAAACTTTTAATAAATAAATGTTTACCGGTATAATAAAATTTTATATTATTTTTATTAGATTAACTAATGAAGTTATACATTTTTATTTATTTTTATAGATAGGATTTAAATTGAATGACAATTCATTAATTTTGGGTCCTCTTGCAATTTTTCCTGAAACAATTTTGGCTTGGAATATAAGTTCTACAATGGATATTAATGAAGCCACTTTATCTTTATTCACTATTTTATACCCAACAATAGATCTTTTGATTTTAGGCCTTGAATCTAATTATGAATATAAAAGAATTTTAGAAATAAAAAAAATACTTTTTAAATACGAGATCAAAACTGAGATACTTCCAGTGGAACATGCTTGTGGTATTTATAATTTTTTAAAATCTGATGGAAGATATATTGCAGCAGGTTTAATACCTCCATTACCTAAAAAATTTATTTCTCATCAGAAGCCACTTCAAAAATCACCTAAACAATTAATTGAAGAAAAAAATTTAATAGATACTTAAATAATTGAATAAAATTCATAAGTTTATATTGATAACAATAATATAGTAATTTATATGATCATTTATATAGATTAACAATATTATATTAATGTAAAAAATTTGTTAAAACAATAAAAATAGAAATTAATTATATAAAGTACTTAATTTTTAACAAAGAAAAATAAGGTTATACTATTAATATAACCTTAAAAGAACATAGTAGCAATCATAAATACGATCATGTGTAAATGTAATATTTACATGAAAATATAATTGTTTAATAATTAAAAAGATAAAATTCCTACAAAATATATATATAAATTTAATATATAAATAATATTTTTTATAATTCGAAATTTTATAATTATATTTTTTGTGTAATACTTTCTGTAAACTATTTCACAGATAATCAATTTTTTACACACGTTGAGGAATCATCAAATTTGGTAAATATAAATATACAAAAATATTCATTATACAAATATCTATTAAATATTCATTATATTTTAAACATTATAAAAAAAGAATGAATAATCTGAAAAAAGAAAAAGTGATTCAAGAAAATATGATAACCAAAAATATAAAGACTGAAAAAATAACTCCAAAGATAAAATTTCTAAACAAAAAAAGACAAACAAAGAAAAATTTAAAAAAAAAATTAAATACAGTATATGTTAATCAAAAAAAAGAAGAAATGGTAAAAAAAATTAAATCAAAAAAAAATGTTAAACCTATTATATATGATATAAAAAATGCATTTAATAATGTTAATCATAACAATACTGAGAATAAGTCAAGATTATCTGAATGTGGTTTTTTTTGGAATGAAATACCTACCTTAAATTTCTGTGAAAATAAAGAATCATCCAGTGACAGTGAAGATGAAATAGAGCAAAAATCAAAACAAAAAAACAAAAAATTAAATACTATTGAACGTAGAGAACAAGAAAAGCAAAAAGAACGTGAAATTCGCCAAAGGGAAGAAGCATTAGCTAGTAACCAATTACCAAATTCTGTAGATCAGTTTGACAGATTAGTTTTAGCTAGACCTAATAGTTCAATAATTTGGTTGCAATATATGGCATATTATTTACAAACAACAGAAATTGAGAAAGCGAGAGCAGTTGCAAAGAGAGCAGTAAAGACAATTAATTTCAGAGAAGAAAATGAAAAATTAAATGTTTGGAATGCCTGGTTAAATTTAGAATCAAAATTTGGTACTTCTGAATCATTAAATGATGTTTTTCAAGAAGCAGTGAGAAATAATGATTCATTAAAGATATACACCCATATGTTGATCGTTCATGTTGAAGCTGATAGACAGATTGAATTAGAAAAAACAATTAATACTATAATTGGAAAATTTAAACAAATTCCTGAAACATGGATCAATTGTGGAGAAGCATTATTAAAAATTGGTTTGAAAGATAAATCAAGGCATATTATGCAAAGAGCATTGCAATCTTTACCAGCATTTGAACGTATGTACAAATATATTATTAGATAAAAAGTAAAATAAAGCAATAATATAATATTAATTTTGTAGATGTGAACTTAATGGTAAGATTTGCAATTATGGAAAACAAATTTGGGGATAAAGAAAGAGCACAAACATTATTTGAACAAATTTTGAGTTCCTATCCAAGACGAGTTGATATATGGTCTTGTTATGTTGATTCTTTAATTAAATCTAATGATATTGATATAGCAAGGTAATAATATTTTAACTTTATTAATAACAGTTTTAATTTTATTTTATTTTTTATTTAATAGTAATTAATTTAATAGTAATAATAATTAATAGTATATTAATTTTATAATGAGATAAAAATATTGTACAAAATTTTATAGGAGAGTACTTGAAAGAACAGTTATTCAAACACTACCTCCAAGAAAAATGAAAATTTTATTCAAGAAATTTATTAATTTTGAAGAACAATATGGTACTCAAGAGAATGTAAACCACGTTCAACAAATGGCTGCAGAATATGTAGAAAGACAATGTAATAAAGATTTAACAATATAAATTATAAATTATAAATTATAAATTTTAAATAAAACATTTTGATATATATTTTTTATATTAAATCAGTGAAAATTTAGTTGTACAAAATTCAAGAAAATTTGATTTCAAGGTTAATATTTTTATAAATTATTTACATTTACTTTTTCAAAGTTTATTACTATTTTTTTTATTTAAAAATATATTTATTATTAAAATTGAAACATAAATTATTAATTGATAATAATATAATTGTTAATTACTATTAATTAATTATTTTAATCATTCAATCTGTGAAATTAAATGTCAAATAAATTCGCGGGATTAATATAATTGGTGATTCAAATTGTGCCGTGGCAGCACTGGTATCAAAATTCCTCCCTAGCAAACAAAACGGCATTTTCTTCTGCGCTAGCGCAGAATGCGGTAGTCGCGGAAGCGATGACTGTCAACGCGGAAATCGGTAGTCTTGTAATCGCCATATTGTTTGCACACACGTTGTGTTAACGATTCAGTAGTGATAATCTCGTGGTGTCGCAAGTGTTTGATAAGCCACGAGAGGGAAGTGTTGAAAGAAAGGTAAATAACTCGAGCCAGAGCTCCGAGGCGGCGAAACTGTCGTTCTGAATCGTGTTAGAGATTTATCCAGTAAGAACCATCGTGACGTGATCGACATAAACCGTGTTGTAAATCGATCGTGTCTCGAAGCTGTCCGAGCGTCATACGATTAATTCCTTAGCTCAGACACATCAAAAGTTTCAAGTATTCGTTACGGTGACGTCATCGACAGTTCTGAGGGATGGCCCGTGCTTACAAGCATCGCGACGCATCGCCTCTCCTCTTTTTATCTCCGTAAAATCGACCAAGAAACGTAAGCTAAATTCTTCGCGTACACGACGACATGATCGAAGAAACACGAAAGTGTTCATAACACTGACATTTCCTAGTGAAATCGTTTATACGTACACTTTGGACGAATTAATCGAGTGAAAACCTACTTATATAGAGGCATCAGGCCGTGAGTATTTTTTATTTTTTAGTGAATGATTCATATGTATGAAATACAATTATATATACTTATCGTGGATTTTAACTTTGGAACATGAGAAATGCCAGACTGTTCAAACGTGTCTTTCTCTTTCTTTTCCTTGTCGTTTTTCTCTCATTTTGTCTTTTTTCCTCATACGTTTATCTTCTTTCTTTTCCTATTCTGTGACCAATTTACTATCTCTTTCTCACTTTTGGTCTCGTGAATACGGGGTTAGGTTACAAATCGAAACAGCTCGATAAAAATATTCAAAGTAGTATCCAAAAATGCTTTTGCATATTTTCTATGATATCATTTTGAGACAAAATTATTATAAATATTTAAAAAAAAAAGAAAATAAATAAAAATAAGTGGTATATAGTGATAGTTAAGAAAAAATTAATAAGCTATTTACATTGAATTATGATAAAATTTTCAAATTACATACTTTGAATTCTATCGAGGAATTTTGAATTTTAATTTTTAAAATTCATATGATTATTGAAATGATGATTTAAAAAATTGAGTTAAAAAAAAATTAAATATGATAAAAACAAAATATACAATTATAATATTTTTTGTATGTGACTCAATGCTACATAACATAAGTTTAATTACAAGTCTAGTTTCATTAATGAAGCTTAATTTTTTATTATTAAATTTATTAAATTTACTTGTTTTATTGTTTATTAATTTTTTATATTTAATTCATGACAATATATACGAATATTGATATACGAAAAAATCGAAGAATTTCGAGAAGAAATGCAAGATGGCGATTTCCATTTCATATTCCCGTATTTAAATATTAAACAAATGATATTCTTATTTCTTATATTATTTCTTTTCTCTCTTTTGTTTTTTTTTTCTCTCTATATGAAAAACTATAAAGTTCGATTACATGATCGGTTTTTATCCGATTCTTTTCTCTTCTACGGAAGAAACGTCATTTCTTCCGTATTGAATATATATATCATATTATCTTATGTAATGCAACACATTACACATTCACAGATACAACGAATAGTATATGATATATATATGTATGTATATATATATATATATATATATATACACAGATCTGTAGTGTATAACTACAAACCATAAGAGAATTTTATCGGTTTTATTAATCATGTTATAAAGTACAGACGTACGCAAACTAGCATCACCACGTGCGAGTATCTGGTTATATGTCTATTTTGATATATATGTTTCTATATATTTCCTCGTGTATCATGAATTTTAGAAGAAGCATAATCACATTTGATTCTTAATATATATTTTTTTTAATTACAAGACGATTTAAGATAATTCATTATTCTAAAATATATATATATATATTTTAATCTTTTTTTTCTAATAATACAAACCTGTTTTTTGCCTTTTATTTATTTTTTCTTTATATTTATAATTTAAATGGGAGAGGAAAAAAAATAAAAAGTATTAATATAATGTTATTGTACACTACATAAATGTATGACATTATCATCATAGACGATGATTTGAATGCTAAAAATGCTAAAAGACATGTTTCGCCGCGTTTTCGTTGCGTAAACGTATAATCTGCTCTGCCAGGGATCCACGTGTACTGATTCCCATGATGTAATAGGCGTGATCCATTGATCGAATAATGCAAAAACTATTTTATTCTGTCATCTGCGTTTCGAACTAAATCTAAATTATTTAAAATTATTATTGCAAATTCTATATCATAAATATTTAAACGTAATTAAGAAATAATAATTTATGAAATAAAAATATAAATCAATTTTAATCAGTCTTGATTATTTTGAAGAAATATCTTTCTCTTATAAAAAATTTTTAAAAATTTGTAAAGGATATTTGAAGATATTGATATAATTAATAAAATCATGCTTCGCGAATTTACTAGCGTGTTCGTATCATAAGATTAGTTACATAATTTCCAATTGTGCTCTTTATGTGATTATGTAACTGCGTTATTGACTTTGCGAAACGTAAAAGATGACCCGTATAATTCTTTACTTAATTTTTCCACAAAATAGTTACATACGCAATAATTTTTTTCTTTCATTTTATTTTTGATTTTCTAAAAATTAAAAATGAATTTATATCATTTAGCTATTTATCATATATA